TCTCATAGGAGTGTGAACCCTATTGTGAACTCTGTATGTGAGGGATCTAGGTTGCATGCCTTTGATAAGAATCTAATGCCTGAGGATCTGTTACTGTCTCCCATCACTCCCAGATGGGACTCTCCAGTTGCAGGAAAACAAGCTTGGGCCTCCCACAAATTCTACATTATGGTAAGTTGTATAATTATTTCATTATATATTATAATGTATTAATAAAAGAAATAAAGTGCAGAATGAATGTAAAGTGTTTGAATCATTCCAAAGCCACCTCCATCCCATCCATGGAAAAAATCATCTTCCATGAAATCAGTCCCTGGTACCAAAAACTTTGATAACTGCTGCCAAATATGATATGGTATAATAACATTTAAAGGTAAGCTTTGGTAAGGTAAAGGTTTATAAATACTGGAGCAAAATAAAAAAATAAATAAAGAAGTTTAAGTATATAATCCAACAGAGAAAATAAAATATAACCATAAAAATGTTCAATTATTTTAAAAGAAGGCAAGAAAAGAGGAGAAAAATGAGCCAAAGATATAGGGACATATAAAATGAAAATAACAAAATGGAAAATTAAAACCAATCATCTCAATAACTGCATGAAATATAAGTGATCTGTACACTGCAATGAAAAGGCAGAAATTATCAAATAGAATAAAACAGCAAAATCTAACAATATGTCCACTAAAAGAAAGACACTTTAAGCTAAAAAATGCAAACAGTATAGTAAAATAATGATAGAGCCACTTTATTTAAATAACACTCAAAATAAAGCTAGAGTGGCTATATTCATATTATTTGAAATAGATTTCAAAAGAAAGAATATTTTCAGAGATTAAGAGATGTATTTCATGATGATCAATAGATCAGTTTATTCCAGAGAACATGGAAATACTAAATGTGCATTTAACTATTAAAGACACTTCAAAATATATTGAGACAGATAAAGAAGAAATGAAAACATTTTCAGATAAACCAAAATAAAAACTATGGCAGCAGTCTACCTTCAATAAAGGAAATTTCAAAGAGAGTCCTTCAGAGGAAGAAAATAATAAAAGATAGAAGAAAGACATAGAAGTAGGAATAAACGGCAACATGAGTATGAGGGTTAACTTAAATGACTGCTGTGTTTCTAACAGAAAAGAAAGAAAATTTTAAAAAGATCATGAAAACCCAGGAAAATTTGGAAATACAACAATGCTGAAGAATTGGCACTATCCGATATCAATATTTACTATAAAGCTACACTAATTATGAGTGTGGTGTAGATACAAATGTAACAAAATAGTCATTTAATAAAGTGTCAAAAACCACTACCTTCATTCACTTCACTGCTATACTCTGACACATTCAGAATATATCAAGTATCTATTATAAATAATTTTAAATAAAAGTGGTAGAGCATAGCAGTGGTGTAAAAAATATTCGGCATTGATAGAATTCTAGGTCAATTAGTTATTGATTAAGAAAAAGTCTTAAATCCTATGCAGCTCCTTATATATAAGACAATGTTCATGGACATGAAAATATGAAAGGTAAAATAAGCTTATGGAAAATAGCATTAAATAGTATATTTATGATTTGGAGACTATAAAACTTTTCTTATAACAAAAATTATAAAATGAGAGTTAGAAAAAGATTAATAAATGCTACTACATTAAAAGTAAGAACCTCTATTAATCAAAAATAACCATTATGATACTAAAAGAGTAATCTTCAGAATAAAACATGATAATGATATTTATAACATGTATAATTTACAAAAGAGTTATGTAAAGAATATATAAGAAACTTTTTAGTGAAAAAATAACAGAATACCTTTTTTAAAGCATGGGTAAAAAGTTTTAAAGAGGTACTGCACTACAAAGATGTCCAAAAGGACAAGCAGCATGCAAAAATTACTGAAGTTCATCAGTCATTAGTGAAACTGACAGCCATATTAGTCAAAATTAAAATCTGTAAACTACCAACCAGAAAGGCCACTAAAAATGATTAATAAGGTTTTAGCTGAAACACATAAAATAACTTGGATGCTGTCATTTCAGGCCTTACAATAATAAGAAGCCAAACAAAATACCAGTGACTTTCCATAGACCCATCAGAGAAATGAAGATACAAGAAAAACTGCCAACGTGAAGTCTGGAGACTCAGGCACATCAGGGAAATAGAGAAGACATCCTATTTACCTGAAGCAGCAGCTGCTAGAGCCAGACAAAAGTATATTTACATGGAAATTTTGGTGATTTCCTGAAAGCTGAGAGTGAGAGTGAGAAAGCCTTAGAGGGTGTAGTTAGAAAGTTTCCCCCTATATTATTGTATTTTACTCCATAAATTTACCATAATCTCATAGACAAGAAAAATCCCCAGAGGCTTCTGGCAGGGAAAGGGGAAAAGTAACCATTCTGAAATATACCCAGATTTTTCTCCACAAGGAAGTCCTATTTGCCACAGGAAACAATTTTATCAGACCTTGTACCATCTCCGAGAAAGGATTTCCACCCAGTTGAGCCAACCTTAGACTTCCTGATCCATCTAATAGAAAAAACAAAAAAAACAAAAGAGCTATATCACCACAGGATCACTTGTAAAGATTATAGCCAAGAGATATAGCTCACTAAAAGACAGATTCAGTCACAAGATTGTAGAAGACTTCTATCCCACGTTACTACCACTGCAACAAGGCTCCAATGAAGTAAGAGGATTTCAGGTGAGAGCTATAAGACACAGACACTTTCTGAGGAGAAATACTTAGAGAAGTCCAACAGTAAGAAGAAAGATAAAAATAAATACACTAATAGAATTTACAACCTCTGGCACCTTCAACTAGAGCAAATGCTAAACAAAGTCCATCTCCAGCCAAATGAACATAAATCCTCAAATTAAAAGCCCGTTTACTTCAGTTCTATCACCCAATTCCACATGTCTGAAGTTTAACCAAAAATTTCAAGGTATCACAACAGGCAAGTAAAACAGTTCAAAGAGACAAAGCAAACATCACAACAAGATGCAGATATGACTCAGCTTTTACAGTTATCAAAGAGAGCATTTAAAATAACTATGATTAATATGTTAAGACCTCTAAAATCAGACATTATGCAAGAGCAGATGACAATATAAACAGAAATGGCAACTATAAGAAAGAATCAAAAGAAAGGGTAAAAATTAAAATATTGTAACATAAAGGAAAAATGACTTGTTGGGCTCATCTAAGGAAAGACTTACGAAGTTTGAGAAATGTCAATAGAAACTTCCCAAATTAAAATACCAGAGGGAAAATAAATTTAAAAAAATAATAAAGAACAGAATATCCAAGAGCTGTAAAGCAATTTCAAAAGTTTGAACATTCAAAATGTTTGAAACAACAAAAGGAAAAGACAAGGATAATGGAGTAGAAAAAACATTTGAAATAATAATGGCCACGGATTTTTAAAAATTAAAGACAAACACTAACCTACAGATCCAGGAAGCTCAGAGAAGCATCACACAGTACAAATGCCAAAAAACATACAATTAGACAATATTTAAATTAGAAAGTGAAAATCTTGAGACAAATCAGAAGGGAAAAGCACTTTACTTACAGAGCAAGGATATGAATTGCATTGGGCTTCTCATCAGGATCATTCTCAGCAAACTGACACAAGAACAGAAAATCAAACACTGCATGCTCTCACTCACAGGTGGATGTTGAACCATGAGATCACATGGACACAGGGAAGGGAGCATCACACACTGGGGTCTGTAGGGGGGAATAGGGGAGGGACAGTGGGGAGTGGGAAGGTGGGGAGAGATAACATGGGGAGAAATGCCAGATATAGATGATGGGGAGGAAGGCAGCAAATCACGCTGCCATGTGTGTACCTATGCAACAATCTTGCATGTTCTTCACATGTACCCCCAAACCTAAAATGCAATAAAAATAAATAAATAAAGAACTAGCAATAGAAAAACAAAATATATACAATGGCTGAACAAAAAAAATGTAGAACAGAATACATAAAATGATGAAGGAAAAACAAGACCAACTTGTGATACTGTAGCTAGCAACATTTTTTCCTCCAAAAAGCAAAAAAAAAAAAAAAAAAAAATAAGGCTTTCTCAAATAAAATAAAAACCGTAAGACCCTCCCTCTCTCCCCTCCCCCCCCTCCCTCCCCATCTCCCTTTCCTTTCTTTTTGAGACAGGGTCTCACTACAGTGGCATGATCATGGCTCACTGCAGTCTCAACCTCCCACGTTCAAGTGATCCTACTATATCAGCGCCCCTAGTAGCCGGGTCTATAGGCAGGTGCCATACATCCTGCTATTTTTATTATTATTATTATTATTTGAAGAAATTAGGTCTCGCTTCCTTGCCCAGGCTGATTTTGATCTCCTGAGCTCAAGCAATCCTACTGTTTCAGCCTCCCAAACTGCTGTACTTACATGCATGAACCACCACACTCGTCCTTTGAACTATGGAAATTCCTCACAAGCACACATGCACTGCAAAAAATGTTAAAAAGCTTTTTTTCAGGAGAAAAAAAAAAGATAAGTCAGAGTCTCAATTGGCATAAAGAAAGTGAGGACGAAAAAGTAAAGTCTAAGTTTGGCTCAAGTGGTTGGAAATCCTGTCTCGGAGATGCTACAAGGTCGGGTAAATTATTTTCCCTATTCTTAAAACTAAAGGGATAAAGAAATATAGAGCATACTAACACGAATCAAAAGAAAGCTGAGGTAGCTGTATCAATTTCAGACAAAGCTGACTTCAGAGCAATACAAGTTATTAAAAACAGGAACATTTAGTAAGGAAAAGTGTCAGTTCTTCAGGAAGACATAACAATCCTTAACATAAATTCATGGAAACAAGCAATAAAAGATGTGAGGCAGGAGATTTGGGTATTTTCCTAAACCAGCACTCACCAAGGAGAAAGCCATGTTCAGTTCTCTACCGTCAAGATCGTGAAGCCCACTGGCGAGAAGTCAGTTGAGTTCGAGTCCTGCATCTCCCAGGCTCTTCTGGATATGGGGATGAACTCGGACCTCAAGGCTCAGCTCAGGGAGCTGAATATTAGGGCAGCCAAGGAAATTGAAGTTGGTGGTGGTCGGAAAGCTATCATAATCTTTGTTCCCATTCCTCAATTAAAATCTTTCCAGAAATTCCAAGTCCGGCTAGTACGCGAATTGGAGAAAAAGTTCAGTGGGAAGCATGTTGTCTTTATCGCTCAGAGGAGAATTCTGCCTAAGCCAACTCGAAAAAGCCATACAAAAAATAAGCAAAAGCATCTCAGGAGCCTTACTTTGACAGCTGTGCATGATGCAATCCTTGAGGAGTTGGTCTTCCCAAGTGAAATTGTGGGCAAGAGAATCCACATGAAACTGGATGGCAGCTGTCTCATAAAGGTTCATTTGGACAAAGCACAGCAGAACAATGTGGAACACAAGGTTGAAACTTTTTCTGGTGTCTAGAAGAAGCTCACAGGCAAGGATGTTAATTTTGAATTCCTAGAGTTTCAACTGTAAACTAAATGACTAAATAAGAAATATATTCACCAAAAAAAAAAAAAAAAAAAAAAAAAAGAAGAAGAAGAGAGATGTGAGGCAAAAACTCACAGAAATGCAAAGGTAAGTATACAAGGATAGAAAAAATGTTATGTTCTAAGATGATTATGGAAATAAATGTAATTAAATTAATGACAGAAAGATAGCTTGAAAATATAAAAACATTTGGAATAAGAAATATACTTCTAAATAATGCACATGTCAGTCTCAAGAGAACTTTTAAAAATTTTGAAATAAACAAAACGTAAAACATAACAAAAGCAGTGAGATACAGTAAAAGCACTGCTTATGGGGATATTTATAGCATTTAATGCATATATTAGAAAATATGTAAATTCAATCATCTTTCTACTTTTAGGAGCCTAGAGAAAAATGAGCAACATAAACCTAAACAAAGCAGAAGAAAATTAACAGTAATAATTAAGCAGAGTACAATAAATGGAAAACAAGAAATTCTAGTGTTTGAAAAGATCAGTAACATTTATAAACTTCTAGCCAGAATAACCAAGAAAAGAAAAAGAGAGAATTACTATATCAGAAATGAAAGAGGAGTTGACATTACTGATTCAATGTGTATTTGAATGACAATAAAATATTATAAATATATGCAGACGAATTTGATAAACTGGAAAAAATGGATCAATTCCTTGAAAGAAAACTACTGAAACTCACACCAAGAGAGTCAGATAATCTGAATATCCCTTTATCTGTTAATGAATATTGAATTAATCATAAATTTTTCATAAATAACTTCAAAAAAAAAAGCACCATGCCCAGACTATTCCACTTGCAAATTCTACAAAACATGTAAGGGGAAATTATATTGGTTCTCTACAAATTCTAACAGAAACAGAAGCCAAGGAATCACTTCTTAACTCATTCTATGTGGACAGAATTAGCCTAATAATAAAAACAAATAAAGATATTATAAGAACGGAAAACTGTAGACCAATAGCTCTACTTAACTTAGATCCAAAAGTTCCTAATAACATATTGCAAATCAAACAAACAATGCAGGAAAAATTATATACCATGATGAAATAAGATTTATGTAAAGCTAATTTAAAATTTTAAAATCAGTGCAATCCATCACAAGCTAAAGCAAAAACAACAACAACAAAAAAATACCAACTGATTTAGAACAAGCATTCGACAAAATCTAGTATCTTTATAATAATAATTATTAGCCAACTAGAAAGAAAGAAAAACTTCAACTTGACAAAGAACACTTACAAAATAACTACAGCTAATATATACCCTATAGTGTAAAACTAGATGCTTTCCCTCTAAAATCAACAACAATGTAAGAAAGTTCCCTCTCAGCATTCCTATTCAACAGTATACTGGAATTCTGAATAGTACAATAAGAAATGAAAAGGGAATGAAAGTTGTACAGATCAAGAAGTAAGAAATAAAACTTTCTTTGTTCACAGATGACATGTCTGTCTGCATAGAAAATTCCAGTGAATCGATTAAAAAAAACTCTTGCCATTAATAAATGAGTACAAACTTAACAAAATATGTACAAGATCCTTATGTGGAAATCTGTGCACATGCACAATGATTTACATGTACTTTACAATAACCATAAATAAAAAAAGAAATGACTATTATATAGCTTGGATTATTAAACAACTTTTAGCTTTAGTGAAGAAGGATGATATTGCAAACAGAGGCAGAAAGGGATTATAACAATGTTCTATTTCTTGAACTGAGTGATAGCTCCATAGTTTTTCACATTGGAGTTATTAATTGAAGTGTATATAATTTTTCTATACATTTCTTCATTAAATGTTGCAAAATAATAATACACTATTATTCACTAAAATATTAAACCATAATCATGGGATAACAATAACAACCTGTGCATGGCAGCAGATGGCAATATAGAAAGCAATGATAATCAAAGAAGTAAACTGGGAAAGAAAACCAAGAAATTTTACCTGTAAAACAATAAAATATTCCTCAAAGAACTTTATATTTTTAAAGTTATAGCCTAGAAGATGATAAGCCAGTTACACAAATTGTCTGCATAAGCTCAGGTAAATTAATCTTTTGATGAACCCTAACTCTTCGGGTATAAATGAAGAGTCATGCTGTTTCAAGTTCTATCCAATTATGAAATATATGCGTAATTGCTCACTTATTTTAAAAAATCCTATTTGCTTCTAGATTCAGCCTGGGAATCAAATTTCTATTTTCAGTTATTGTAAATATGACATATTTAAATATGCCAAAATAGTTTTCTGGGAAATAGCTGAGGAGGGACATTAGTCTGAGCCTGGAAAAAATATTATTTAAAAAAATTATCAAATCTTGAAGTATTCAAAAATATAATCCTCTCCTTTGACTGCCCCCCGAAAAAAGAATCCCATTAATCTTCTTAATGGTACTTTAATCCTGCCTGCAATGTAAGTGGGGAAGAATTACTTTCTTAAAGACTGAGTTAGAAACAGACTTAAGGTTTGGTTAGTTTCATCATCATTACCCACTAAAAATTAAAACTGATTACTACAATAGAAACTCCATAACGTTCATTACGAAGGATAATAAAAAGGAAAATTGTGCTTCTGCAGTTTGAGAGTGTATATATCCCAAGTTGCTACTCACTATAAAATGATTTAAAGCAAATGTCAGACACTATGGCAAATACAAAAAGTAGCATTTTTAAAGCCATGGAAATTATAAGAATGGCCTTAATCACCATTTGCATTTGTCATTGTAATAGAGCTCCTAGCCTGCTCAATTAGATAATGATTTAAAAAATAAGGAAAATTTAATAATGCTATTTTCATGGATATTATAACTACAAATATGTAACTGGAATAACCAACACTACTAAAACTAGTTAGACTCCACCATAGTTGCTTAGAAGAGATATTAATTAAAAGCAACATTACTGTTCAGAAAAATCAGTTTAAAAATATAATACTTTAAAAACCCATACACAAAAACACAAAAAGCATCATTTGTGAAGAAATATAATAGAAACTCAAGATGTTTATAAAAATTTAGTATAGGACCTAATAAAGAACATTGATAAATACAATAATTATTTAAAAAAAGAAAATAAAATATTTCTATTCAACTAAAATGAAAATTACATGTGACTCCAATTTTTCACCAAACTTGTCTACTCCTAAATTTAAAATAGAAAGATAAAGAATAAAAACCCAACATTAGGCAAGGCAATTTTAAAAAGGAATGGAAGAAGTTATTTATTTCACAATCTATTGAGACATATTACAGATAGGATAAATACATTACAGTATAGTATTTGTGCAGAGATGATGAATATAATGTAATAAATAGAAAAGTCAAGACATATCCATTCATCTATGAAAACTGTACATGGCAGTGCTAGAATTCCACTTCAACATGTAAAGGATAAATTACTCAATAAACAATATAAGACAATTGGTTATCAGTATGGCAAAAATAAAACGGAACTAAACTGTACTCCAAATCCACCTTAATTATTACATTACACAAAAAAATGTGAAAAGAAACTTTTAAAATATTAAAAGAATGTGTAAGAAAATATCTTTATTTCTTCAATAGCAGAGAAAGGTAGCTTATACAAGGCACAACACACACACACACACACACACACACACACACACACACACACACAGAGCCCAAAATAAATAATTGATAATTTCACCACATTAAATGAAAGCTTGTTATCTTGGTAAAGAGTTTCTGAGATAATCCTTTCCCTTTCCCTAAAATGTTGAGTTATTTATGAAAATTCCTCTTTGTAAAAAGGACTGTCACTCTCACTGGCCTTTCCCTTAAAATTAAAGACAAGTTATTAAATATAAAATTGTTTCACAAAATCTGACATTAAAATATACTAAATTAAGGCATCCATACAATATATGAGATGATAACTGTGTCATTATATTTAAAAACTATCTCTGGGTTATTTGCATAGGTAAGCACCAGAATGCCCATAAAGCCACACTAAATAAGACCCAGGAATACACTCAGAAGACACCAAAATGGGGACATTCATGTGATGACTAAAAGATTCTTACTTGACATTTTCCTCAATACCTTCCTTGTCTATCATTACTTTTCATATTGAGGCAGCATAGATCCCTTGACATGAGTACCCTTGTGCAACTAAACAAGAAGTTACTTACATGTGTTTCGTTCCCAAATATTTAGAAATCAGGATTACCAGTATAAAACTTCCAATAAAATACACTAAAAATGTAAACAATACCTCTATTAACTTTCAAAAGAGATGTTATGATAATGTATGTTATGATAAATATAGAACCACAAATCCAAGAAGTGATTCCAATGTTGGTTGTTTGCTGGAATCACTACTTTGTGACACATTTTGGCTTACCAATTTTCAGACTGGAGTGCTTGCATATAACTACATAAAGAAATTCCATGAAGGCCATAAATCCACTATTATTATCAGTTTAATTGTTACATTTGGAAACATTTTTTAGTAAACCTGACCTAAAATTTTGGTCACCTGCTCTTTTATTGCAGGATGCATACAAGAAATGTTGAAAAATGCCTCATAATATAACCTTGATAAAATGAGAACATTAATTTAAAATTACATATAATTTTATTTGTGAATATTTTCCCTTCAGTCTCCTCTTTTAAGTAAAGGATTCTCATTATAAAAAGGTTTTCCCTATCATTCTGTCACTTCATAAATAATGAATGGAGTTTTTCAATTGTAGATGATTTCTGTGTTGAAATCATTTCTGCAGTAGGTATTGAAATAATCTAAGAGATGCTCATTTGCCTGTAATAGAACTCCATCTTGAAGACATAAATAAGTAAGCAGGTATTAAAAAGTTATTTGTTTCCAGATATTAAACAGTATGTTAAGGCTTGAAGATTTAGCATAGTAATCCATAATTGCATGCCAGTTA